AGTACTGATAAGTGATAACAAAAAATGCCTGTCTCGTTCAATAACACTGATGGCTTTCACCGGGTTGATGTTCAAGTTGCTCTGAGGAGCGTTCGGAAAAGTCATCACGAATGCGAGACGTAAGCGTAGTTATTTCCGTGTACTGTGTTGGCTGTGCTCATCTTGTCGAGCTCATTTTATCACGCATATTTCGTATAATAGACCAGAAATAATCTGACGAACACTGGGTCATATTACTGCCGCATGAACTATTGTCTTTGCGAGAGGTCACGGAAAGCTTTGAGTTGTCAATGAATGATCTATCTTCAAAATTACATTCTAAATTACATGAACCGCTCAATTTTTATAAGATCTTAGCAAAGGTATGTCAATAGATTAGAATGAGAAGATTTGTGGAGTATTTCTAAGATAACAGGAAAGAAGAGTGTTGAATTGTGGATGTGAGATATTTGAAGAATTGATGTCTGAAATAAAAATATTTTAAAGAATTTGTTCAGCTCCATTTTTACTAAAACTAAACAATTTTTGCTTTCTAGTTCGTTATATGACTTAGATGCACTGCTGTAACCTTATTCTATAATAATAATTATAATAAGTGTTGCAAACTCATCAATGACAGTTGCATATTGCTGCAGCACTAGTTCTTAACAACTTGAATTATTCTTCTCCAGCACTAATGTCTAAATGCTTTAGAAAGTTTTCCATGGTTTGCAGGGATTTCTGAAAGGTAAAATATCTTCCTGCAAAAAGTTAGTATCATGTGTAATCTAATTTATGGTAACATTGCCAACATATCAAGAATCATAGCTAACCAAAAATAATCTGACGAACAAATCTGATAGCTGTTCAGATCTTTTCTTCAGTCTATTTCGAATGTTGATGTCTAGGAAGAACAGCGTTCTTACGTACGTTCATAAATTTTATCAGAAAATTCATTGAAATGTCTAATTAGCGCCAATCATTTAAAGTGTCTCCAAGTAATTCTTATTAGTCGGACTTATTTGCAGTCACAAACGGGCAACCGGAAAACGATAGAATATGTTGGTAGAAGGATTTTTGGATGGAATAGGATGGACGAAATAGCTGCAAAATTCGCTTCTTTTCGAGAATATTTCTAAGGTAAGTCTAGGTTTAATTGTTTGACCTTAATATCTCATCACTAAGCTATTTGCCAAGATGATATGTTAGATGGTGATTGTATGATTAAAAATGAAGTGTAAATGCCATAAACATAAAACATTAAGGAAGAAATTGTGCAAGGAAAATTTACGCAATAAGCAATATTGAATTTGAAAAATAAAAAATGGAATTTAACTCTGAATGAATTACATAATAATAACCAGTATAGTGTTAAGGTCAAAAGACTTATTGGTTGGTCTTGAAGCTGTGGAGTAGTTAGAATGTCTAGTGTGCCCCATCTAGCACCAAATCAATTATTTTGAGGATGGAATTTCATGAAATTTATAATTAACTGATGAAACAGCTGTTAAAAAGGCTTTGCTTTTCCATCGTTAAACCCTTCTTTCCAAAATGCTAGCAAGGACTATTTTTCACTTTAAAAAAAAAGACTATTTCACTTTTCTGGGTGTCTGTCATCAATTGTCTCCTTTGTAACAAATGTAGAGGTCATCTCCTTTAAGAAGGCACGCAAATCTGCCTCAGTTCTGTCATCTCTCCTTCGTCAGTAATGTTTTTCGGGTTGTACTCAAGGTTTATCCATTATACTCACACATCTGTTGCTATCACCTGTTTTTCCTGGAAGAAATTGAAAATTGAGTCAAATTAAAGTAGCGCTAAATGAAGCAAAGTGGGATAACACGTTATGCAAAAGAATTCTACTTCAGACAATACGCGTCCCAGCAAAAACATAAAATGCTATTGCTAACCTTTTTACTGCAGAAAAAGCGTGATCTTTTCATACTCTTTCTTTTTTTCCTTCCTCTTTTTTTTCTCAAGATCTTTTTCTATATTATTTCGAAACCAATTCCAGAGAATCGATCCAACGAAAATGCATAATTATCTTAAATATATCAATCGGTTGTTAAGACTCAGTTCGATCTGCAACAAATCGCTACCCATATCTAACATTATTGTTTTACCTGTTCTAAGTCAGATCACGAACTGAAATTTACTTCAAAAGATTACAGTTTCAAGAAAGAAAAAAATAAAATGATCACAATTCACCAATCATATATGCACTAAATTACATAGCTATGCAAAACCATGAAATCGTAGTTTATTCTTTCATTCAATTATTTATGATTAAAATTACTGTTGTCAATTATATCTTTCTTATCAACAAATATGTGCTATCCATTTAGTTCAACTTTGAACCTATATTAAAATAAAAAATAAAATAGTATTTAACTTATCACTACACATTTAATATCATTTAACACTTGATTTCATCAGTTCAGTGACATTAAAATACACGAATTTTGCAGAAATGTCCCAATATTCGCCCTTCATTTACAATCAGTGATTTTTTTCTTGAAAACTTCAAAACATATTATGTGCATGCATATCAGTTAACACTTTCGGCTTATAAATATTTTCCGGCTACTTCACTTTTTACTTATTATTATTTCAGTTCTCAACTGATAAAAGATATTCTTCTGTGTATTTCTTCTCCTCTCTCTCTCTCACCTTTCCTTTTCTGAAAAATCTTTCATGTAAAGCAAGAACATAAAGATTTTAAAAATTGATAGTTATCTCGGTGCGTTGTGTTATGATTAATGATATATTATTACTATTGTTATTGTTTTTATTTATTATTCTCTTACATTACTAATTTTGTCTTTTATTTCTATTTTTCGAATTATTACGTTAATTCTCTAGTAAGTCTTACATTGTTGATAATCATAATAATTACTCAAACATACCTAATATTCTTTGATATTCGACGAATTGAATCGGAAATTAAATGTCTAGAACGAGTGAAAAAGAAAACTTTGAAGACATTGAGTAAAAGGAAGATATATTAATTTTATAACTTCTTTGTGGTCTTAGAATTTTATCTTGCTTACGAAAAAGGAATTGTCAGTATTAACTTTATACTTTTAAAACATATTTAACTAATAATAGTGATATTAACTATCGTAAATGGTATGAAGTTGTTTAAATGTTAGCTGTTATGTAGTGAAAACTTTGATATCTGATATAACCATTGATTCTAATTCTCTGGCCATAGCAGAAAATTGTGGATTTAGGTTCACAATTAAATACATATTGACCTTAATATAAAAATGATAAAATTTTCTTCTAAAGTTTTGCGGCAAGAATTATTTCAGTTACTGAAATTCTATTCATCGTTTGAAGTTTGAAGCGTTATCAGTTGTTCGGCATTCCGGGATGAATGAATGGGTGGTAAGAGATTGTGTTATTCTTAGTATTTCAGTCTATCTAACCTTTAAAATTAATAAGGAACATTTATCAGTTTGATTTATGTAATCAGCTGATATAATAATTGCTTACATAAGACAATTGCTTACATTAAGTATGTGGATGACATAATTATCTCATGAATTATTTACTATTTCTAGTCTGATTAGCAGTTTTCTTTTGCATCGATATATTTGTCTATGTATCATAAAAATCGTCGCAAAGCTTATTGTCAACTAATTATACTTCATTAATTAATATAACAAAGCAAGCAGAAGTGTTAAGATTTGATCAAGAATCATATGATTTGAGATGTGTTTGAAAAAAAAAAGAGTAATTTGAATTTTGATGCAAACATTATCAGTTTATTAATGTTATAACATGTGTGATTCCTGATCATTCAGACTTATTAAAAAAAACTTTAGTGATTTATTTCAATTTTATTCTTTAGAATAATTGGAGAAATAGAAAGAGAGAGAATTTTCAGAAAAAAATAATAATTAAAGTGTCTATAATTAAAGTAAACAGCGTTTCAAAAAACATTTTTTTGAATTTTTTTTATTAAGCTTAACATATGAAGCAGCCAAAATTTGTTTGGGAAGAAATGTAATTCGAAGTAGTTTATTTTAATAACATTTATGAGGAACAGTTTGTTTTTTTTTTTTGGTTAAAGTCCGCTATTAAATATAAGTCTTTTAATAGTGGGGATATTTATCACTTATACTCGCTATCTCAGCTAGTGTTAGCTTTCTGCTTTAATGTAATATGGACAGATCAGTCCAGTAATTGCTGGAAATGGTCACAAATTGAAAAATTATAACCATTCCTAGTGAGGAATAGTCAAGTTATTCCTGTTAATACATGATAATAGGACTTTTATTTCGATATCGGTTGAAAATTTCAGGATGTACACTTTAATATTATTTATAATACTTCCCCATGTATCAACTGCAGTTTTTAAATTAATAACCAGACGTGATTGTAAGCTAATTCAACCGATACAAACTACCTATTTGCATACACAATAAATCTTTGTGAAGCATTAATTTTGAATTTCACTGTTGGCGGTATAATTGTGTCGCATTTGTGTTTTAAGAAAGAGAATGGTTTTCAAAGAATTTTTTCCACCAGTTAAGTCAATCTACTAGATAAATTATGAATACTTAGGTTTTCCAACTGACCACTTGAAAGGAAGCAATTTATTTGATCTTACGAAGAAATTCTCATTTGGATATACAAATTTTTCTCTAGGATAATGGGTGGTAATTCATATTGCAAAATAATACTTCAGGCAGCTTATTACTAATATATGTGATAGTCCATGTCACACCCGTTAGTAATGTTCAATAAATATTTGGGAAGTTAATTCGAATGATGAATTAAATGAATATAAATGCAATGGCTTATCAGAAATGAAACAGAAGATTTTTTTTCTTTGGAATACTTTGGAATTTAATTGGAATAATTTAAAATTTTTAGAATTTGAATGCCTAATTAGCGATGTTGCCGGTAATCTGTTAACTTCCGGTGATAACGACACAGGCAACAATGGTAATGGCTGATAACGATAAATATTTTACAAATACTACTAATTACTGAAACGGGGACTGAAACACATTATGATGAGGTAAATATGCAGAAATTTCGAGAGACACTCAAAATATCCTCAAAAAAGTTTTTTCAAAAAATTTTTCAGTAAATCAATTGACAAACACTACAACTTGTAATACTTGTTTAATACAGCTTTTTTTGTAGGAGGGAACAAAAAATTATGAATTTAAAGAATATATTTCTAAATCATCTGCAATTCGAATTCAAATGTCGAAGATGCCAAGGACGCACTTATTGCATATGCAAGAAATCTTAGCATTTTTAAGTATGCTGATCTAAACGATGATCAAGCTGTAACAGTATTGGAAGCATGCAATTACTTGTCTCGATATATCAAGGTAATCAACAGTTCACTTTTGTATGCGTATGTGTGTGTGTTAGAAATGGTAGAGAAGGAATTCTTTTCCACCACCTTTACATTAGAATTTCATTCATTGCATGCTAAAAAAATAGCACCAATTGAAACAACTTTTGTTACATTTCTTCATCTTTTCATTCATCCTATTCGCACTTTCAGTACGATTAAGGATTCCACAAAAAAAGAAAAGCATGAATTAGTGAGAAAGTGATGGAAAGGTTAGTAAATCTTCAATTTGTCTTTTAAATGAAAATTTGATAATACCTTTTTTTCTTACTAACCAACATCTTTTTACTTTTATATGTTTTATTTCACATAGCAAAACTGATCATATATGGGTGAATTTAAAATTCTTTGGTCTAATGTAGATCTATCAGCATTAGCAATAGATCAGATTCTATTAAATTAATCCACAGAACCTTATTTTACTCTTTATAACATTTAAATATTGTGCATTCATTGTGCTTAACTATATGAAAAAATTTTACACTTCAGTGATTTAACAATATCTAATTGATTCTTCTGGATGATTAGACCTTTGAAATACATAAAATGTACATATGCTATTTGCTAGTACATCAAAACATCAACCTTCTTTTGAACTTTTAAAATTGTCCGTCACATTATTCTTTGCTCTCTTCCCTTAAGCATCCCAACTTGACATTTTGTTCAAATGTATACCGTGTATTTTAGTTATTAATTCTATTATCTGAAAATTCCCCGAATAAAAAAATTCCTCTGAAAAATTTTCAAATTTTTAGATTTCTGATTAGAAATTTTTTCAAAACTTATTCTGAAACAATAAGACGCAAGTGTTTTCTTTTTGAAATCATTTGTAGATGAAATTTGTTCATTATTAAAAAAAACTATAAGAGCAGTGTGCAATTTTTAATTGTAACAAAGTTCCCATTGAAGCCATCTTCACAGACTGAGGCTCAAGTATATGACATCACAGAATTGTTAAACAGCCAAAACCCTTTTTTTATATCATAATTTGCGAGATACTATTCAAAAGAGATTATTATCAAACTGTGCGAATTTAGAACATCCATCTTTTTTTTTTTCAAATCCCATTTTAGCATTTGCAAAAGTTTTGTTGCAATTTTAAAAAGTTTGAATTATATTCGAATTTCAGACTCGTGATACGATCGAATTCTTTGATATTTTCATCGACTCGAGGAAGAAAAACAGCAACTGTCTTGATGTTCAAGGTAATAAACATTCAAAAATAGTAATTTTCTTTTAGTGAAACTGTAATGTCGCCGAAAAGACTGCGAGAATAATTTTTTTTTTTTTTATTTTGAATTTTATGAAATAAGGAAATTGCTGCATAGTGATTATTTAACCCGATTAATTAAAGGAAATGTTCACACTATCTTAGAAATTGCCCGACATACTTCATTTTATTCTTCTTTTTAAAACTATAATTTATCTCGTACTTATTATAGAAGCCTCTTACATGTTTCGTTACTGATTATTATATTAAAGTTGAAATGGAAGGGAAGATCCTATCCAAAAAAGCGCTTTTGTCTACTTTTATCATTGTTGGTAATTAGAAGGTGTCTGCTGTTTAAGAAATTTCTATAATTTAATATGATTGCCACTAATTTAGTGGAGAAAAACAATTTTACAATTTGTAGGTAAATAACGTAAACATACATAATTGCTGATATGCTATGATTGGTATGATTACTTATATGCTGATGTGATTGTTTGTATGAACTTGCTGATATAATTGTTAGTCCCTATCCCTCTTCGAGACTATAAAATATTTGACAAGATAGAAAGATTCAAAAAAATGTATGCGTTCTTTAACATCATTGAAGCTTCTATCGTTTCTTCTTAATGTTATATGAGTCTCTTGGGAATTTATAATCCAATAGGAGTGAAGGTCTACAAGGAGTATATTCAATATTCCAGGCCTATCTATAATATTTTAGGCCTACCAAATATTACTCACAATATCGTCCACAAATGTACCATAATTACGCGAAGAGTACAAAGTATATGCAGTAAATTATGGATGCTTACAATAAGCAAAAAAGTAAAGGTTGGTGAGCTACCAATTGATCCTGATAGTATTATCGCTCTTGCTTTGTACACGGTACTAGACACGTACGTGATCGTTAATAATATCGTAAGAAGAAGTGTACGAAATCAAAAGTAGTACCTTATATTTGCTCTGCAATTGCAGCTTTAACTGACCGTTTATCTGATAACATATTATTTATTGCAACATTATTGTAACTGTAATTGATTCCATGAAATAGCAATTCATCACATCGGTGTATATTATGTCTGTAAATATCTGTGAAATAAAATTGTTTCATAGATCTGAAAAAAAAAATTAATTTTGTCACTTTATAATGTTGTACACTTAAAAGATAATGATCAGAGTAAAAGTAAAAATAAAAAATAAAGGCTTTTGAACTTACAGATAATATATCACATCACAGATCTGCTATAGATTCTGTAGAGATTGGAATTTATTTAAAGTAATCATGAAAATTTGGAAAAAGTAGATAATAGATATTTAATAATTATGTTAATTGCTAGATGCTGCATATAACTTATTTATTTTAATCTTCATAAAAGCTCAGATTTAAAAAAAAAATCAGGAAAATTCAAAATGTGCAAAGATATGACAAAAAAGTTATGACTATTGAGTTAATGAATTAGGATTATTATTTTAAAGAAAACGATCTTGTTTACGATACCATAATCATGATTACCATTAATTTACATAATGAATAATATTCTTAATCACATATAGCAAATCTTCTTTGTGTTCCTTTTGTTGATAATGCAATTATATTTTTAATTAAAAATTGCCTGTTTAAAACTTAATGCATAACTGAATAGCATTATATTTATCAAAAATAGAAAGTTTGTCATTTTGGTTAAGAAATATTTTATAAATTTCTTCTTTCTATTTAAAAAAAAAGCTGACAAGGGAAAGCAGCTGCTTCAGCAGAATGAGATTTGTCCAGCCTCTTTACTTCCGAATGAGTGGAAAATTGCAACTATTTGATGGAAATCTCGAGATCACTGCAATCGATCCACTGCGAAATATCATCATTTCACGGATCTTTTCTTCCTTGTCTTTTTACTCATTTATCATTTATATCTGAAATTACGTTCTTTAATATATTTTGCCGTATTTTTGTAAATACCAATTTAGTTCAACTCCTTGCTCTCGAAATGTGGTAAGTGTGCATGCTTTTCAATGCTTGATTGATTGACTCAGTCAATCAGTTGATCAATTAGTTGTCAATTAGTTGATCGGTTGAATTGATTGATTATTTAAACACGAAAATAAGAACACTTCGATTATTGCTAAAAAAAATAAAAAGGAATGCTAGTTTTAACTGTATTGTTTGTTTCGAGTTCATCATATAAACTATCGTACATGTATGTGTGTATGTGTGCACAATAAGTAATACTTTGCATGTGTGTGTATGTGTATGTGTGTGCACTTATGTTTACATCTGAATAATTATTGTAACTATCATTTTGTGCACAATCCGTTTAAGCCATAAAATTTTACGACACAATAAGTAATACTTTCATAAATTCAATTTGCTGTAATGATATTGTATGACTCATAAGAAATAATGAGAGGATTTTAGCGCCGCTTTTTTACTATTTCTCGATGAAAGGTTTTGAACTCCCACTGATTTTATTTCATATCTGAAATGATCCTTTCTTTCCATCTTATTTATTACAAATCAGATTAGACTAGAAAAAGTTCCATGAGAAAATAGTGATTAATTATGATGTTCGTACATTATTAACTGCAACAATCCTTTTGTTCTGATCAGATCACTTTAAAAAATTCAGGTTTTAAAGTAGCAGTAAAAGGAAAAATGATGTTATAAGCTAAAATTTACGAAATAATTTACTACGTATCCTTACTTTCCTTGTTGTATAAAAGAAAAAGAATTCTAATAATTTTTACTTGCAATTGAGACTCCTCTAAATCCAAAATGCATATCTTCAATTTCAAGAAATTTCTTTTCTAAAAAAAATTTGAAATTCGCAGAATAAGTAAAGACAAAGAGACAGATGATTCTATTTTATGCTTTAGCTCAAGCTTTTCATAAATTATATACGTCATTTATTTTCGTCAAGACGAATTCTGTCGAACATCTGTTCTTCGTATAAATTACGATGAAATTCATGGGAGGCATAGATAAGATGAAATTAATGCATAGAACGCCGCAGCGATCAGTAATTTTCTTTGGGCACTTTGAAATGTAAGCTTTAAAATAAAACAAAATTTTCAATATCATAAAAATTTTAAAAGTCCAATTTGTGGTAAAACAATTTTTCTCAAAAACTGGCTGAATATCCATTTCATCAGCAAATGAGCTTGATTGGACGAATTAGCTTAATAACATTGCTTTGAAAGATTCAATTTCTGATCACAATTAAAATTTAAATTCCAGTTGGCCAGTTGTAAAAGTTTTATCTGCATAGCAGATTGTTGAAAGGAAATTGCTTGATTTCATTTTTAGTCAAATGCATATTTACATGTTGAATATTATTCTCAACAATTTATACGCCACGTTCCTTCCAATCACTTTACAACTGTTGATCTTAAGTTCTGCACAAAGATCCACTTTAGATGTTTACATTTCTTGCTATTATCACTCAGTAAAATTTCTAAAATAAAAAAATATTAAAATGCTATAGAAGATTTATTACTATCATCTCTCAAATGGAGAGGACAAATGCGCAAGCGCACTGATCTACCGCAGCATGCCAGTAATGTAAACTCAACCATATGTGTTTTAGTGGAATTGGTTAAAAAATGATGGATGAAGCTTGCTTACTTCCATCTTGTGCTTTTATGAGATTTACTAGAAATCCAATATATTTCACTGTAGTAACGAATGAAATGAAGATTTGATACAAATCTTCATTTCATTCGTTTCATCAAAAATCATAAAATTTAATATATGTTTTAGATTCTGAAAAAGAGAAAAGCCAAGAGTGTTTTAGAAAGGTTAGCAGTATTTTCGAGAGCCAAGAGATTTTGGAGGAATGAACAATGCTTCGGCAAGAACCTTAACCTATTACGCAGAAATAGTTTTATGAATTCTTATTTGCGTAAGCTAATGTTATTCAATAATTTTTTTAACTTTAATTTCATTTTAAAAAGAAAGTAAAGAAAAAAGATTGTAATTTATAATGTAACATCCGACATTACATTGACTTTTTTCATATAATTTTCATAAATTAGGCAGAGCTAAAATGAGTAATATAGATTCTATGACAAACAAGTTATTTCACGTACGTTACCAATAAAACACAAATATGTTGATTTAGATCAACAAGAAATTTAGCTCCTCGAAAAAAGTTTATAAATTAGTTTTCTTTAATTTTATTCTCTTCATATCGTATGAAAGAATTTGCAAAAAAAGAAAAACTCGGAACTCAATTTTTAACGTATTAATTAGTCAAAGTAAATTTCTTCCTCTTAAGCAAATATATAATATTTAAACTTTTATAGCTAACGCTACTGTCACTTCCATCGTCATTCCCATCTGACTGTTTAACATCCGTATAATCAAGAAAATTCAACGATTTCATTTAACATTTAAATGATATTTATTAATTTCATTCCATTTTTATGTAACCGACACTTGTCGGTCTGTTGCTTTCTAGTCCTGTCTCTTTCCTTTCCTCTCCCATCCTTTCTAGTCTTGTCTCTTCTTTCCTTTTCTGTCATGTTATATCCATTCTAAATATGCTCTTCCTGTAATTCACGGAAATTCGCAAAAATAGATTTTAATTTTAACAGATGTAATAAATTGATCAGAAACGTAATTTGGTCGCAACTTTTTTCACTTCTTTCCTCTCTCTCCCTTCTCTCCCTCCCTCCCTCGCTCTCTTTGCCTTCTTGAAATGGCTTAAGCTTTAATTCAAATACTTTCATTCACATGAAAAAAGGAACAATTTCACATTTTTTTTTCGAATTTCCCTGCATTTGATGATAGAATAAAAAATAAATTAAAAAACTGTAGGAAAAACGGAAGATTCAAAGATCAGAAAGGAAGCGAAAGATTTGAAATGAAAATTAGACAAAACGGATTTTTTTCAAAGGTCAGAAAAAAATTTTGTTAATTTTAATAATATCAGTACGAAGAAGGAAAAGATAAGAAATGAGAAGGAATTAAGCATAACATTTACGAACATTGAAGAAAAATTTTTGCAGTGCTAATATTATTAGCTTCTCTTTCCATATTTTTGTTACATTCCTCAGTAAATACATTTGAAGTGGATAAGAAAAAAGCATTTCATATTGAACAGAAATGGATAAGAAAAAAAGGTATTTCATATTCATATTGAAGCGTTTCTGTCCTAACACGTCCTCTTATCACATTTCAATATCGGTTCATCCGTCTTCTACTAAAATTTTTCCATTTCATTAAGCTATAATCATATTTCTGGTTCACCTCAAGCAATTAGTCTTTTGGGTATTGTTATTCATGTTAGACATTAATGTTTATGCATTTCAATAGAATGTTTATGACCTGCTATGCGACCTTAGCAAAAAATAAAGAACTAACCCGTATTCTTGTGATTTATGTAATACTGATTGTCTTGAAGCATTTTCTGTTTGCTTTTGAATGATTGCCAAAAGATTTTAATTTCAATTTTTCGAGCCTTTTTTTCAATTTTTATTTTTTATAAAAAAACATTTGCATCATATTATTTATTTAATTAGTAATAGTAATTAATTGAAGTAGAGAATGCAACAGAGAATCTTACTACTAATCTTCATTTGTACAGGGGACATCTCTTTCTATGCTTTGCATATTAAAAAACAATAAATTCTAGAAATTTTTTTTTTTTTAATTCTTGTAATTATTTAAATTCCAAAAGGTTATAAAGTACTTATAACATTTTACAACTCTATAGTATAAAAATATTGCTTATAAATTGTTTGGAATGAATGCATAATAAATAGAATTTGAATTCTTCCATTCGTTCCTATTTTTTGTCTCACTGATATTTTCATTTTAAAAAATATTCTTTTTAATTTATTGCACACTCAAATGCTTTTTTTCGCATAAGGTAAGCTGTAATTTGTTACATTGCATAGACATTAAAAAACTTTCTAACTCGAAAATGCTTCAATGAGAATTCCAAAGCATTCAT